TGTGTGTGTGTGTGTGTGTGTGTGTGTGTGTGTGTGTGTGTGTGTGTGTGTGTGTGTTGTTTACATTCCGTACATTTTATTTTGTCATTTATATTCTTATCTGACAAAATATAATCGAAAAGAGGTTTAGATCCTCGTCTTCTAAACCGTGGATCCGAATCAGCAAGATCCCGAAGAGACTTTCCCGAGTATCCAGTCGCTGTAAGAAGAGACACGGGTGTACACTCCAGGAATCCCTTCAGTAGCACAGTCCCGTGGGCTGAAACTGGTCACGCCAAGCTGCCGGACGGAAGTTATTGGATTACACTTTGATTGTATTTGACAATGTATATTACTGTTTATCACCAGAGTTTATTGACGTTACTACACAAGCAGCTCTAACAGTGCAAAAGCGAAATGCCGTTTGCTCCACCGTATCTCACTGAGAACTAAACACAGCACCCAGTGCCTCACCAGCACCCAAACCCCGTCTTCTTTCGCCATCAAGGGACCCCCAGAGTCGCCCCTGCAAGCATCTTGTCCGGAATCGCCAGCGCAAATCTTGAGGAGAGAAAAAAACATGTCATAACTGATTTCTAAAGACTTTTATGATGTTGCATGTTTGATGTTGCAGCACTTAATACAATGTCCATCTGCGTAAACATAGGAGATACTTACATGTTTATCAGTAACGGGAAAGGTAGAGAATTCATAAATTTTCTTACAATCCTCATGGTCGGTCACAGTGACTGCCGCTTCCTGCAGTTCGTCCGGGAATGCCGAACCCGCTAAACAAACAAAGACAAAATGTCATAACTAATGCAATAGGCAATGAGCGCAGTGCCAATAGGTCATACTTGCTGTAGAGGAACCAAACCTATTGCCGACGATAATTCTGTGTTATAGTATACAAAGATCGAAACAGAACCACTGATAAATGTACAACTCGTGAATCCATAAAAAACAATGCATTGATACTGTTAATGTATCAGTTTTGATTTAACGATATGAAGAGCTTTAAATCTAATGCTACACATTAAAGACGCCGATACATGAAGAAAAAAATACACGAAAACGAGTACGCAATGTTCGGATTTGCACGTTTATTATTAATGTCTTCCCCTTAAATCAACCCATTGTAGAAGGCAAGCATATACGCAAGGAATCACGAAAAGAAAAAACAAAATGAAACAGCATTCCAGTGTTACCCGAAAACCTTGCATTCGGCCCTAAATAACTAAAAATTGCCTCTAAAATACCTCAGCTTAAGGAGTAACGCACTGGCCATAAACAGTATTTGATATGATCTTATACCTGATACACAAAAAAACGTTTAGTGATTTAATAATTTATTTCGCATGATATATGTTTCAATTACGTCAACAATGTTATGATATAGTGTATGTATTCAAAAGACGACCTACAAATTTACTTTTTTATCACGAAGAGTAAATAGTATACAAAGCTACTGAGAAAACAAAATGAAGCCCACAATCTCTCTAAACGAAAAAAACCTTGGCACAAATTCCTCACTCACGGTAGTCGAGCAAGCCCCATCCCAGTATGACTGCATCGCTGTTCCCGAAGGCCTTGGCTGGCGGCAGGCAGATGGGGCCCACGTTGCTGGTCCATTTGAGAGGCGATTTCAGCGTGATGACAGCTATGTCGTTGGCCTACGGAGATATTACTGCTATATTAATGTGTTTTATTTTCATTCATAATTCTGAATTACATCCAATCCTTTTTCTGATTCTATATCCATTAGCAATGGGGGAAACTTTTAATTTTGGGTTTGCATTTCATTCCGGATAACAATGGTTAGCACATTAATGTTACCAAGGCCTACAATTTGGAAAATGCGCAGAATTATGATGAACACCGTAAGCTTAAATGATATTGTTATATGTAAAGCTATCAGACATATCACAAAGTAATAATGTTATGTAGTCTTATTAGTCCCTAAAGTGAGAACGAGTCAGTATCATAATAAAGGGAAAGTAATTAATATGTTCTTGAACAGTTATCCTTATCACTCCGTATGTAGCTCACGATAATAATTTTGCTGACGATGACGGTTATACTGTTGTTATTGTTGTTTTTGCCGATTGATAACAAGTTATGACGATGAGGCTATCATCGATGGGCATGACAATGACTAGTTAAAAGTAGCGCCTTTTCCTCTGAGACATGCCATTGCTCATTCAAAATGCCATGCCCCGAAAATGTTGAATGTGATACCACCCACCGTCTCAACACATCCCTCGCCACCATCCCCCAGAGATACAGACAGACTCACCAAGGTATCTGAGTTGAACTTCGGGTGCATGGTGATTTTCTTAGCGCGAATGGTTTGTGTTTTGGTTTCGTCTTCTTCCTCTAGATTGTGCTCGCCCGCTACCGCTATTACCTCCGGGCTGAAGGGAATTTAGGGGGCATACTTTATTGACCATGAAATAGATAAAGATTGACAGATGAACAGATAGACATATATCCATATATAAACTCATAATCTTGACATCATCGACCGAATGTTATTGGAACTGTTCTACAAAGAAAGATATCGACCTGTTTTACTTCCAAACACCGTTCATCTTATAAGTGATGGTCTGTTCCATCTTAAACATTTTAAAAACCGTTCTTTAGCATCAGTTAACAATATACATCACAAATTAACCTAATTTGGTGCAGTTTTGGCGGAAATCGTCCTGGAAGTGATCTGGGCTGCTTGGACCAAAAGTGAATGCGGCAAAGCTTAATTTCATTTCAGTGGGTGATTGACTAATGCTGCTTTTGCCTCATGAGGAATAGACTAGAAATTTCTCAGATCTACATTATATTGTAGACGTCGACAAGAGATGCAGTAGAAGTCGAGATGCAGTACAGTTGATCTAGAGTGAAACCTTCACAGTCTGATACAGAAAATTCAGAGAAACTTGCAATGAGTGATGAAGCCAATGATGCAGGTCATTCGGCCAAACGCACAGAAATAGGGAAGGGGACAAATGCGTTAATAAATGAGTGGAGAGAGGGAAGAGAGAACTTGGTATAGAAAAACTACTTCAGTGTTTCTGACCCCTCCACTGCTGCAATAAGGATGCAGAGATTAGTTGGACCTAACTGTAATGCATGGATAAACAGCCTCGTGGAAAGAACCATGGTTTATCACTCTGATAAACCTTACACAAGCTGCTTCTTTCTTGGTGGAATACCTAAATTAGAGTGCAGATTCCAGAGATCTAAAATTGGGTGCTGAGAAGGTTTCTCATTCAGAGAATGCGAGAGCACACCCGCACCGCCACCCACCGACGTCACCACACCGGCATCCGTGAGGGCGTGACACAATCAACGCTGTGACATTGAGCGCGATCAATCTGATGTCTGAAGCTTACCTACTGTAGTCGACACAGTGGGCTGCCGTTATAATGTGAAGTGTCGTAATGATGGAACCACCGCAGAGGTAGGCCAAGAAGCCATCTATGATTGTCAGATGAACCATCCACGGGTATTCTCCGGGTTTTGTTGCCTGGCCGCCCACGATCTTTGACGCCCCAGCATTTTTCGAAGCCTTACCACACACTGAAAATTCCCACAGCATACGACTCTATACTCCTTTTCTTATGAAAAAAACATGTGCCTTGAATAATGAAGGGAAAATTAATTACTTTTTGTAGAAATTCTTTGGACACTGCTGGAGAAACCAATGGCAATAATGACTACAAATTTGTAAAGTATATTTTATATATATTATTCGGTACTTTACAATTTTCTACGTTCCCTGTGGAAATTTGTAGTTTACCAAAGGATCTTCAGGTGGTTTATTGAACACCTTCCGTTGGTATATATGCTACCATATATGGCATATATGTGGCATTAGATGAATCAATAATTTAATGCTGCTCTCCATATCTGGTTAGTATGCGTCTAGTTCGAGACACCCTGTGATATATTAGAGACTTCCTTTCTCTTGTATATTATCAATATCAATATTATTATTATTACCACCAATATTTGTTGATGAAAAACAAGTGAAAGAAGGCATTTGCACATTTTTCCTAAAATGCATTTTCTGTCACGAATACCATATATATTATACAGATTTTGTTATATAAAAAAGAAGGAACCTATACAATATACAATAAATATCAGTTAACATATCTCTGTACATTTATCATGATTCGCAGTCAAAACAGAAATCAACCAGCAGCTCTCCTACCATTTGTGCATCCCGGCGCCTGCGCTGCACTGCTCCCCCCGCCGCCGCCTGAAGCTGTGGGGAGAAGGGAGATTTGTTAGGATTTTATGCCGACATTTGAATTTGATTCATTTGACTTTTAATCTTGAATAAAAAAAGTGCCACATAGATTTGTCTTTTCTATGCCTCAAATTTACATGCATTGTATCTCCTTTCTCTTCCTCTTGATTTGGTTCCAGTCTACATTTAAACTTTTGTAATTTTCCTTTTCTCTTACTCCCCTTCTCTTCTCCAAACAGTTTCTGGGCTCACCTTTTACGCCTTTAACTGAACACACGATGTTTGGCTTAGTGCTGACGCCAGCAACTTTCGTGTACGCAAGATACACGAAGTCCATCCCTTTTCTCTTGCTCGGGCCTTTTCCATTGCAATACCTGACAAAAAAGGAGAAGGATGTTTAAACCCAAAATATGCACTCAATTTACTACATTCTATACACTGCAGTACCTATTGCAGGTTTTGCCTATCGTGGAACAGGTTAAACTATCCTAATCTAGTTTTTATGACATGAAGATCAGGGAGTAATGGGAACTATTAATCATAAGTAAATCTTAAACAAAACATGAAAGATTTTTAAGTCTTTCAACTCCCTTCAATGCTGACATACTTTCCTCTTGAAACAGAGTAAATAAGAAATGAGAGACAGGTCCGTGAAGGTCAAGAAAATGGGTTAAGCACACAGAAGAAAATGTGATACAAAAAATCAATTTTACGTCGGAGAGCAGAGGAAAAATGGACCAGGCCTTTCCTTCGACCAAACTGAAGCGAA